CCTGCCTGTTGCCGTGGGGTGGCTTTGGCTGGGAGGAACATTACAGTCTTCTTCTATTCAATCTATATATATATATATATATATATATATATATATATATAGGATATATATTTTCTTGCCTTAAGGGTCCTGGGGACCCTTAAGACAAGAAAATTAGTGCAAGCCCTGTTCAGGCACCTTGTTTCTGGCAATGAAACATGATTCCACTTCCATGACCACTTTCCATTCGAGGGGTGTGTGCAGGCATGATATGAAGCTGAGGTCAACGAAAGGCATTGGAAGTTCTTAGTTGAAAATTTCACAAAAGGTCCAGCTTTCACCTGTCACTTCCAGAAAGGAGTGAATCAAACTAACCACCATCTCATATCAAGATTCACCAGCCATGAATTTCATTATGTAACATGCTCCCACAAAGAATTCTGCAATCCTAAACCCACCTGCATCTGCCACCTCTGCAAGACTCCTGCAGGTCACCACTACCACCTGATGTACTACCCTGCAAAAGGAGACTCCAGCCTCCTCTCCACGCTACAAAAATTGCTAACCTCCACATCAGAGTAAACCAACAGCCCAGACCACAATACTCCTTCCCCTATTGACTATATTTCCCCTTCATGTCCTGACAATGCCAAAGCACTGTCCTGACTGAGGATGAAATAAATAGTTCAACTTCCACAAACTGGAGAAGAAACAACAATCCAAACAGTGGAAGAATGGAAGAAGTGACAGTCCTCCATGCAAAGAGGTGAAAACATCACCATCAGAAGGTAAGTGAATGGCAACAGCCTTCTGGAGCACAGAGGGCATTCTTCTGGAAGGCTTCTGGAGGGGGCAAACCATCAACAGTGAATATTACATGAGCATACTGTCAAAGCTTAAAGGTGCCATCAGGTCAAAATACAGAGTGAAATTGAGTGCAAGTGTTTTTCTGCAGTGTAACAATATGAAGCTGCACACCAGCCAGTAAACATTGAATGCTTTAGCTGCTCTGGGTTTTGAGATGTTACAACACTCTCTCTGTACTCACCAGATCTGGCATCAAGCAATTACTGGCTCTTTGGTTCCATGAAGAAGTTTTTGAATCTGCAGGCACTTGACTCAGTGGTGCAACAGTGGGTTCAGTCTACCCCAAAAACATGATTCAAAAGGGGACTAAACAAACTTCAAGAACATTGGTACAAGTGTATCAATTGGTGGTGATGGTTGAAAAAATCCAAAGACCTTTTGAATATTCCTTGCACCTGCTCAGCTGTGCTCTGGTTCTTAACACTTTGAGCCCTGGCAATTTGAATGCACCATGGGTATAGGACATAAAGAAAACTGCAGGACTCAAAGTGTTAATCCATGTAGCACTATAATGCATAACTCTTGAATCATGTCAGGTCCTGAGATTTGGTCACATCCTGTATATTGTGCATCATCATTGTTCAGGAAACAGGCATTTCAACACCTTACCACAGATCCAAAAAAAAGCAGTTGACAATAAGGCATGCTATTCCAAGTTGGATTTGGGTGAAAAAAAATCAAAGATTGATAGGAACAAGAGAATTCAGTGAATCACACATGCCTATGGCTCTTACTATATTTCCAAGAGAACTTTCTTATAACTTTTCCATCTAAATTTTATGGAACATATCCAGGTATGATGAAAATGTTTCCTTCCTTGATTGTGCAAGGAAATGTATGACATCAAATTTATTTGCTAAATAGCCTAAACCACACAGAGAACCATGTTTTGACTCAAATTTCTGTATTTTCCTGCATGTTGATCCTTAAACAAAAGGCAGCCTCCTCCAAAAATATTTTTCTTAGATGAAATTTGAGTATATATAATTTATTCAATATTTTAAGCATTGTCCATTAGAATCATCAGTATTTCAAGTATTCGATAATGCTAGTTTTGGCTAATGGATGTTCAACATTTACAGAGTGACATATAATGGTTGCTCCCAAAATGAAATTTATCCCTCAAAATCTACAAAAGCTAGAAACAGAACAAAACTCAAACTCATGAGTTTTGTTCTGTTTCTAGCTTCTGTAGATTAACTCAAAAAACAAAACTCAAACAGCATATCAAACTATGAATGTATAAGATACGTGATGATGTGCTCAATAAGGGAGCCCTCAATTGCAATCATGTGATACAGTTGCACAATGAAATTCTGGTAGACAGCTTTGAGAGTCATTAGAAATCTTTTAAATTTCACTCTGAATGGCATCCTTGAGCTCTGATGGTTTTCAGGTTGTTTACGCAGACTTTATCTTTAATGCAGTCCCACAAGAAGAAATCACTAGGGTTGAGGTCTGGGGAATAAGGCCAGTTGATTCCCCTTCCATATGCCTTGTTGTAATTCAGAGCAATAACCGTATCATCAAAATTTTCCTTGAGGAACTCAAGCACCTTGCATGTGCTATGAGGCCTCGCATTGTCCAGCATAAACCAGGTTACTTACTTGCATGAGCCCCAGTCCCTGCTAGAACAAATTTGACTTCAATGGGCCATCTCTCACTCCATACCCTTTGCAAAATGCCCTTCTCACTGTCTCCAGACTTCTTTGGCTCAAACAATATTGTTATATCATGATGCAGTAAGTCATCATTTCTATAAATATGTCAATAATAGACAAAAATGTAATGCACATGTGCTAAAAAATCTCCTGCAGTTACTGAGCATCCATGAAAACTATGAAGCTCATACACTCACATTCAACAAAAGATATTATCATTATGGGTGCACCCATTATTTGAAACCCTGTAGATATACTCTTGAGAATAAGGGAGGACAGAGGGAGAAACAGAACTTCTGTATCACAATGCTTTGGAGGCAGGTGTGACACAGTAGATATTCCTTTTCCCTATTTCTCCCTTTTGATGCAGTCCATATTTTCTTAAACATAACATACATAAATAACTTCCTCTCCTACTAAAGGAGTCTTATATGGAAGGGCAATATCCTTCCATTATTCTTTGGCACAAATTGTTAGTAGTGGGAAACAACAAAGATAGCACTCAAGAAAGGAACAACTTCAGTATTTCCTTGAAGTCTTTCAGAAAGGACGTTCCATATCAACTAGGATTTTCTCTGAATTTCAGTTAGCGCTGAGGAAGTTCATATTGGTAACCAGTTCACAAAGTAACTAAAACTTGGGATCTCTAATCTACTCACCTACTATATGCAAAAATGATTCCAAGTCTCTGTCAGACTGTAGGTAACATTTCATTTTCTTTATGGCAACTCCTCATTTTGAAATTAATAGGCCAAAAGAACTTACTGCCTCAGGTATTGGCTACAGCTTCCCCTCCAAATAAGGCTAAGGTTCTCCAAGGTTCTCACAGATCTTAAATACTACATGGTAGAAAAATAGGATTTTTGTATTCTCACCTTGCATATGTAAACAAGGAGGTCAAGGTGAAGTGGAGGTAGTAGGAGACACACTTGGAGAATCAAGTCTAGGACATCCTCATCTGTTTTGGACTTATTCCTCAAGCTTGCAGTCCTAAAATGATAATGTCACAATTTGGCATAGTAATGAAGACAGCAATATCAAAGGATGGGTCATGAATTAATCAAAACATCAGTGATTATGTTGCACTTCTATATATTATGCTTATGATGCATTAAAAATTCCTCATGTAACAAAGGATCAGTACATCATACAGAAATGCAGCTCAACAATTTGAACAAAACAGCAGGGAGTTGTTTTTAACCCCTTCTGGACAAGTCATTCAATCACAACCTTGATCACCCACAAATCCATAGACCCAAAATATGGTGCATACAGGATGAGGGTATACCTCCCATGATAAAACTGACAGGTTTTTGGAGCCCAAGTTAAAAGGTGGTATAGATTCATCTGCAAAATAACTGTAATGCAACTGCTACATTATCTATTTAAATTATTTTTAAAAAAAACAGACCTAAGAAGACAGGCCAGATGTGGAGGTGGAATGAGGGATTTTGGGAGCTCCTTGAAGAAATCCTTGAGAAGACCAACAAGATCATGTGGACTGACTCGCTCCTGGCATTTCTTCCCCAATGGGATCACAGCATCTGGTAAGTCCCATTCTTCAATCTCCATCTCCATCATATATTCCTGGTGGTGAATTGGAAAATTAGAAATTGTAAAAAGCAAGAGAAAGGCAAGACTTGGGATGAATCATTGACAAATCAATTAAGAACAAATCAACAAAACAGTCAACATTATCACTTATTGCCAATTTAAATTTATTCTTGCTGGCAGTTTCATATCAACATTACACTTCTCTGTTTTGATGTCACCACAAATCTCCCTTTAGTGCTCTAGCATTGTTTGCTAGTACTTGCTAATTTAAAATTTTCAAAGCAAACAATTTCTTTTTCTTTGTTCTCTGTAATCAACTGTAAGAAAGTGTCAACAACTGGGGAAAAATTTTAATTTTTGTCCTCTGACCTCCATTTTCCTTTTTTTTTTTGCAAATCCATGATGAATGTGACTCTGGCAAAGAATCACCTATGCAACTACAGTCGTCCCTCACCACTTCGCGCTTCGACTTTCGCGGCTTCACTCTATCGTGGTTTTTTCAAATATATTCATTAAAAAGTTGATCGAGACAGTGAAAATGATACAGCGCGCGCTCGGTTGTCTGAGTCAATTATACACCCCTGTATTACAATTAAAATAAAAATTACTGTACGTATGGACTGTGGGCCTATGTATTCGAGCACCCCCGCAAATCCTTCAACGCCAGGTGCAGCCGCTCGACCACTCCTTGTGTGTGGGCAAGAACTTTTTTCCAAAAAATCGGGTGTGGTGAAACCAAGCCAATCAGAGCGTGCTGTTCACTGAATGGCTATCCTATCCTCTTCCCATCCTGACCACTGATTGGCTCAGCCTCACGCAAGTTCGTTTCTCTAACACACGCTTCTACATCGCTACGCATCGGAAGCATCTTTGCTCTTGTGTTATGTAATGTGTAATGGTGACTAAAGAGTGTTATTTCATGTCTAGAGGGCTCTAATAATGTTAAAACCCGTATTTAGAAGGTCGTAAACAGGTTTTCTATGCTCTAACTACGAAAATATTCAATTTATAAATAAAGAATCCTACTTCGCGGAAATTCACTTATCGCGGTAGAGTCTGGAACTGATTAACCGCAATAAACGAGGGCCGAATGTACAGCTGGGATGCCAGCCAGATGACTTTTGCTATCAAAAGAGGATCTAATCCAAAGCAAAAAAGGATGTAGGTTTCCCTCCAAGTATGCAATTCAACAGCAGGACCCCTCATCCATCATGAGACACAGCAGGTATCCACATATGAAAGGCAACTGCCAAGTTCCCAGGTCTTTACCCCCTACCATTGATATTTTTTGGAACTGAACCATCTTGTCAGTTGTGGGTATGCTGTCACAGTGATGATCATTTATGAAAGTTTTTGGGATGTTGGTGAAAATTTTCTTTATGATATGGAGCAGTTTCAAGCCCAAGGACACCAGTCTTTGGAGAGAATGGTCACAACAGACTAAACTTGGGTTCATTTCGTTGATCCAGAAACAAAAGCCCAATCCCAAGTGTGGAAGCACATTGAGTCATACACATCAGTCAAGTTTAGGGTCATGCCATCTGCTAGTAAACTCATGTTTTGTCAAGTAAAGTCATGCAAAGTCTCTCTGGGACTGCAAATGGATGATTTTTTATCCACTTTGCCACAAAAGGTTAACATCAATAAGGTCTATCATTGCATGGTTCCCATAGAGCTTGAAGCCCTAGCAACTGCTCACAAGCAACCTTAACTGAAAACCTCAGGGGTGCTTTTCCAGCAGGACAATGCACTACCATCATTAACCTATGCAAGGAAATGCTACCATACCACCTTTACAGCCTTCTTGCTCCTGGTTTCCATCTGCTCTCAAAGCTGAAGGAAGGGCATTATAATGGAAAGCTTATTCAAGCAATTTACTTTGGCAGCAGCAGTTTCTTAGAGGATAAAACATACTACCATGGAGTGCCTTGCTGAGGACACAGAAATGATGGTCAGGAGATGTAAACATGTGCATGCCTCAAAAGGATGAATTTTGAGAAATAAGTAATGCAATAAAGCCAATCATGGGATAACTTCACTTTGTTTAATTAAATAAACCATTTAATAGCTCCTCGTATACAAGGGGAATTACCAACACTGACACAAATAACAACACACCAGCTGATACAGATGCCTTTCATGCCACTGGCCTTAATTGGTGTTTCTATTGAAGGCTTGTTTTTATTATTATTTTTTCATTAGATCATAGGCCTCACCTGTAAACTTAGGGTGTCATGTGGGCTATTGTAATTCTGATTATCATGATCAGCATTCAATGCCACTCTGAAAGGGGAGGCAATTGTTGTTTGATACCCTCAGGGGAATGAGGCAATAAAAACAAATAGAACTTGAAATTTTTAGTTGGACATATGGCAGCAAGGTGTCCTGGTAAGTGAGATGGCCATCTGAATTAGCACTGAAATGCAACTGCAAAGACAGGGTTCAACAATTGAGGTTCTCTCCCTTTAACTGCCTCTTCTAAATCATGTTGTAGCTTGAAATCCCAGTGGGAAGCAGATTTGACTAGGCTTTCAGCTCAGTCCACCCTAACTGTGATGTGTCTCCTGATGTTACATTAAGCCATACAAGGAGAAGGCCTATGCCAGGCTAGGTCTATCAGGCCAATCCACACTGCAGTCCTCTCCTTTCCTCGTCTAAGTAACTTAGAGGGTACGTTACTCCCGGAGTGAAAGATGTAGGACTGAAACTCCAATCTACTTATCAATGTGAAGTGCATGCAAAACTCAGAACTGTAAGACATTATAAGCCATATTGTATCCATTCCATTTCTTCATAAGTTCACACAAGTAACCCAACATGAATAGCTAGGGAAGTGTAATTTGACAATGCTGATACAAGGAAACATGCATGTGACCTTCCACAGACAGAGAATATTCTAGGAATTATGATTCAGCATAGGCTGCTCTAGAATCATTTTATTCTAGTTCCAAAATTTACTGCTATTTTCTCCCTCCAATTCATGAATTGGATTGAGACCTGACCATGCCTGGGGAGACATAACTTGTGTAGGGGAATAAAAGGAATTCAAGCATTACATAAGGGGACAAGTGACACAGGTCAATGAAGTGAGAGAATGGTAGTTTGCAGGGTCTGTGCAGGTTTCTAGGCACAAGATACTGAGCTCATTTTGATGTCAAAAGCTGAGGTGTCTAGGACAATAGCATTGAATTCATTTTTTTTGTCCTCTACAAACTAAAAACATTCATTCATGGTTGCAGTTTTTGTGCCAAAAATACCCATATAGGAAGATCATATATGATAGTTATATGCAATTACCTGTGCCTTATAAATTCATATATTTTCATGTATTGAAATATGAGGACACACATAAAACATACCTGGGCAGCATATGTCTATATAAAATAAATTTGTGGTTTGAGGGATGGGCTCCTGCATATATGATGTATCTGGCTTAAGTATATTATTTTTATTAAAACACTAGTCATCAGCACCTCAGCTGATTTTCCATATCATACAGCCCTAACATGTGTATGACATGTATATTAACCATTAAAATACAGATTTAAATGCCATAAGTGAACCCTGCCTAGTGGGTTTTATTGGCCCCCCTTTAAATACATTCTGTTTATCTTACAAAAAAAAAGCCTATATCTTTTGTTGTAATTGTCTAAACATGTACATGATGATAGAATAATGGATGTACAGCATATACTCCACTATTATTGGGATTGAGGAGATCCCAATCATGAGTCTAAGAACACTTTTCTGGGATTGTGTGAATCCCATTTGTGAGTTAAAGGTTAATACTTGCTAACGCAAGATTGAAAAAAAGCAGAAAACTTACCTTCAATTTCTTTTGTCTAGGTTTGCTACCATCTTTCCTGAACAGGCCTTCTGTCTGCAGATGTTCATGAAGTTTTGAGCAAATTTTGTGCACAAAGATGGGAACTTCAACACTGACACTCCCAGAGAGAGATACAGTCCTTGTCTTCTGCCAAAGAGGTATCTTCCCAGCTCCTGCCTGAACTTTCTGGAAATGACCACAACCAAACAAAATATAGATTCCAGCAGTTAGGGTGTACAAACCAGAGAAAAGTGGAATAAAGAACCACTCAAATTTAGACAGATTTTGATTGCTATTGGCTATTAGATGAATTTTGTCCATAATGTATTGAAACTGACAGACAACCCTTACTGCAAATTTTGCCCTAGTTGTACCCTAGATGATATTAGCCCTTATGCAAAATTCTCCTTGAAGAAATGAACATGAATAACTGTTCTTATAAAAAGCCTACAGTATGATTCATTTACACATAACATTTCCTGATATAAATATAAAGGTTCCTCATACAATTCAGTTAATCTACAATATATAACTTTGATATTGCAAATGAAATATATATTCATTCATGTGGGATATCCACAAAACCACCATTTTGGCCAACAATCTCTGCCAACATCCACTACCCCACTATGCAGCCTACTCTGAACCCAAATTGGGCTGATAATGGACCAAAAATGTTCCCCAATGTCCACATACTGCCAACACTTCCCACAACTGTCCAACGTTAGAAGTTATCTGGATATTCATTCTATGTCTCACAACTTGAGTTGCATAGAAAGTGTTCTAGCCTGCTGTTCAAGCCCAATATTTGCATTACTCTAAGCCAATGGTTCTCAACCTTTTTTCATCCATGGCACCCTTTTCAGCCAATGAGACATTCACAGCACCCCTGCAAAGTTCCATGACCAGAACCAATAATACAGGGGCAAATCAAAATTCATAGGCACAAGAATTAACCACTCAGAATTTATTCACAAAAGGGATTTATTATGCACAATCCATAACAAGGCAATCACTTCCAACACTTCTCGTTATGAGTGCTTTCTTTCCAAATGCTGAACCAATTTACTGGAAACCCATGTGAAACAAGGCAACTATTTTCCATTGAAACTTTTCCATGATGGATTGCAATATTGAAACTCTGAAAACACCAGAAATAAATCAAAGCTATCTGGCTTTTGAATTATGGAACAGAATCCATCACAGAAAGACAACTATATAACTTCAAGATCATGGATAGCACAACTGACCAAATGTGTAGTGGAAATGAGTGCAGAAGCACATTCTATTTTAGGGAAAAATACCAGTTGATCCAAAGGCTTCATTAAATCAAACCTATACTATGCATACAATTAGAAAAGCACAAGATTTATATGTGAGATATGGCACCACACAGGTCCCCATAATTCCTGAACAACAGAAATTAACTGAAAATGGATTTTGAATGGTGATAGGCATCAGTCAATAATCAATTTCCATTCTAGGAAAGTAGCTTTCCATGAATAGAAGAGGAAGATCCAGGGCTAAAGGGGTATCACTGCCTTCTTGTCCTATTTAGGTGAGAAGTCAACAGCACCCCTGCCAGTCTCTCTGTGGCACCCTGGGGTGCCCTGGCACACAGGTTAAGAATGACTGCTCTAAACTCTTACAGGTCTAAGCAACGACCTCAGAATGCCATGGTCTTGGCCACTAACTTGCATCTGAGCATCAAGTTATTCTGAGAGTATGTAATAACAGGGTAAGTAGTCATATTGGAGCTTTAGCTGTAGACCTAGTCTAAAGGAATTACACCTAGCTATGGAGAAACCTCTTGTTCAAGACAAGTGATTTTCATAAAGAGTCTAGCTGGCATATGCTCAGAGAGCAACATACATATGGCAAAAAGTAGAGAAATGTAGAGGAAGAAATAAAATTGAAGAAAACATTTGTAACATAAATTATTGTAAATGATTATATTGACCAGTCAATTGAATGATAAATGACTTAACCTAAGTCATAGCTGCAATCAACCACCTCACTTAAGTAAGCCCAAAAAGAACTGAATATCATATTTTGATAGGCATGTGGCCCAACTAGCATGTCTCACCTGCTTTGTTTGATATGTTTTTTTAGATTCAGCATGAGAATCCTGATGTCTTGGCCTGCTGAACTTCCTGTTAGTTCTTGAGGATCTCAACAGATGTGGAGATGTGTCCCTTGAAATATGCCTCTGTGATACCTGAGTATCTGCCAAATGATCATCACTCCTAAGAATTCCATTCTCCCTGAGAGATATTTCTAGGCATTGACGAAAGTAATCCACTTCTGTTTCATTGAGATACGAGTGATGAAGGTACACTGCTTCCCCCATTTCTGATGAGAAAAGGAATAATATAACTTAGTAAGTTCTGTGAGTGGGAGCGTAGATCTTGAAGGGAAAACTCATCATCTAGTTGTTTGTTACAATAGCCACATCCCAACCTAAGTAGGAAGCTAAAGTAGGCTAACAGCATCATTCCATCAACAACTCAGCTTAGGTCAAATCCATACAATACAATTACATCTGGAAATGTGCATGGACACATCTATGACTGCACATGAGTCCACCATATCAGAGAATGCATACAACACCATGTGCTGATGATCCAGGAATGAAGCCATATCTGTTGACACCAATTTGTACATGAATAGGACCCATAATATGGAAAAGGATACTTTACAAAATACAGTAGATTTATAGACATGTGGCATATTGCCTTTGTATGTTGGAATGCACCAGGAAATGGCATGGATAAGTTGAATGACTATACATGTGAGATCCAAAGTATGAAAAGAGATGCATTATATGTGTCAATATACAGTAAATTTACATAACTAAACTAACATTATCACAAATGCAATTTAGAAAAAATTACATGTCTGGCAATATCTATAAGTCTATGGATAATTCATTTTATTATTGTGCACATTGAAATCAAGAAATGAACATAACATACATGAGGGGCATTCAAATTTCCAAACCTAATTTACACCTCAGCATCAAACTAGACACTGAAAGGTGTCAACTATTCCCATTTAAAACATTAACTACCCAGACCTATTCATGGCCCAGTGAATACAATAGCACATGACCTAATGGCATCTCATATAGTAGTTAATTTTGTCAGTAATAGTATGCATCCACTTAAGAAATACCATCAACTTTGTCAATTCAGGCATGACCGTCTCTCAGGCATATACAGAACGAGAGGGGGGCATTGTCACGCCCTGAGCCCTCCCCTCCCTGTGCACACTCTGCCATCGGTATAGTACATGTCCACTTAGGCCCACATTTACTGCAACAAAAAAAATTAAGAACTCAGAAACATCAAAAGCACTGAACAAGGTTTTCCAAGTCCAGGATAGATCATCACACTGGGTACTGCTGTCTGACCTCAGTAAGGATGTCCCAGAACAGAGTCTCACTGTGAAGCCCTCTCCATCAATACTCAGCCAAGTGTGAGGTCAATGTCACATTGAAGAACGAACTGTGGTGTGAAGTGGGTACTGAGAAAGCTGTTTTAATAGGGGAACTTCATTGTTTATGATTTCAGTTGAACTTCGGGGTGAATATGTACTATACTGACGGAAGGGGTGCATGCAAGGAGGGGGCTCATTGCATAGCCAGGGGCTTAGCCCTTTCTCTTTTTGCTTTCTTCAGCCTTGCTTCCTATAGTTTAGTCATTCATCTGTCAGGTTTTGTTCAGGAGCGGGGTTTCTCCCCCATCACCTAGATTGGTTTGGGTGGGAATGGCACCACATTCCCTTTTTACTGTCTGTGTGCCTTGGTTGGAAGCAGGCAACTACTCTACCAGGCATTCGCCTAATAAGCTGTTTTAAATATCATAGGACTCAATATTATATTATCAGTATGAATACAGTAATGCTTTAAATTTTTTTTTAATTTCAATCAACTTTCAAGAGCATAGGACCATATTTCAATGGTCTATGAACATAGGAAAGATCCCAATAGTGATTCTCATTATCCCTTCAGGTCAAATAGACATAATGGCATCCATAAGGGGGTTGCCTAAGTTGTCAATAACAACTTTTTAAAAATCCTCGCTTGCACTGCATTGCAGGATAATAGAATAAGAATCCAATTTTGCATGATGATAACAAAGATATCCACCTTCATGGACATAGATTTAAAACTGATGTAAACTTGAAAGGAGAGCAGTGGTGAAGGAATGAAAGAATAACGTGACAGCTTTGGCATTGGTGACATTATCACAATTTCTCAACTTCGGTTTCCTCTGGTTATTGTCAATTAGCATAGCTGTGAGGCAAGTTGAGGCAGTGTCCCTCAATGGTACAACCCTACTCAACAATTAGGACAGCAACATGTCTTTTCAAGATCTCCCAAGAGCTAATGGGGAAACCATAGATATGTTACCATGGAGTCATATATGGATATCACATACATAACATATACTACACCTTTCATGGATTGTATACTTCCCTTTCTCATGCAAATCCCTACCTTTTTGGGGTCCACACCCGAGTTATCTCATGTTGACCTCATGATGAGGGATGGAAAAAACTTGGATGACAGTGCTGACTTATCCAAAATACTCAGACCCCAAAGGGTTAACATAAGCATCAATGGACTTAGTAAAACCAAAACTAGAGTCTATATGAACACTCCCTTATACATATAATTTCTTAATTCACCTTTTAATTTCTTCAATTGGCACAATACCTGAGTATTTACTTGTTCTAAACCAGCTATGGCATTTCAAGCAGAGTTCCTAATCCTTCAAGTGCTGAGTTTTGACCTGACCTTCTAAGTGACGAACATACAGTTTTTGCTTGAAAGGTTAAAAACCAGGATGCTGGCCCATACAGGGGTAGTCACTCCTCACAAAAATTCTGCATTAGCCAAGGTTTTCTATGGTGTAATCCACTTCCCATGCTCACCCAATAAGCAGGCAAGCTTTAAAGCTGCTTTACGGTCCAAAAATCCATCTCCCAATAAAGCTGTCACATTTCCCATAACTGCATGACAAAAATTGTTCTGAAAGTAACATTTACACTCAAAACTATTAGGCTGTTATGGCATACAGAGCGCACCTTAATCAGGATTAGGCCTACTTCTTACACCCCCAATCGCGTCAGGACTATCAGGATAATATATGTTCAGGCTTTGCTCTTGGCATGTACCAACGCATCCACCCATCACCATCGACAGTTAGTGGCCATGGCTCCTGATATCATCGGCATCGACAAACTAGACCTAAATAGACCGAATATACGCCTACCGTGGAAGTCCCATAACATCATTTATGGAAAATATAGCAAGTTCTACGCTTAAGCGTTACAGGTCAGGCATAGGCACAGACGAGAAATTCAAACAGCTTGGCGTTGGCGGCATGATAAGAATGGCACCATTGTGGCCACGCCTATGGCGGGTTGCGGCCACAGAACTTGCTGACTTGCAGTCGAGGAGAGCGAGCCCTTTCCTCTCACGTTCATCTTCAAAATGCTGTGCAGTTATCAACACTGGACGATTTTCATTTTATCCTATGCTAATACAACACAGCGTAACAAATATGCTCTCATCCAAGAAGGAAAAAGGAATAGAGACCAGTCTCCCTCCCCCCCCCCCCCTCCCCTCGAGAAACGGGATGCACAACTAGACACGTCTGAGCCAGACGAGGAGGTCGCTAGAATGTGCGGTATCAGAGGGAATTCAAGAGTTACATACCATATCAGGCATGTAATTTTCGATTGCTGGTTACAGAGAAGGATATCTGGATGGTTTCAAAACAAAAATTTGATGCCCAAGGACGTGGTGCATCTTACACTACTCTTTCTGTTCGCATGACTTCTACGAATGCGTTGAGTCTTCCTCCTCTGGCATACAGCGAAGTAAGACTGGGCGCATTGGTAAGGAGTGGAGGGAAACTTTACGCATTGATTGCTAAGCCATTCTAAGTAACCTTCACCTATTAGGCCGAAAGGATTGTCATAGCATCTTGTGGAGTTTGAACATTAGCGTTATAATTCGCTATTGTACAGTATGGGTCAAAAGTATTGCAACCCGGGAAAAATTCATAATATACCCCTCCAAAGAGTGTGATGAAACTAATTCATTTACAAATGTAATCCTTCTTCATATGGATAACCAACTGCATTTGCTGAGGCATACTTATTAATGCATTTTTGCGAATGCCTGGATTCAAGTCTACCCATGCATTTTTTAGTTTCTGGATGAGCTGCTTTCAGCTTGTGCCATGTTTCATCTTCTTGACCTCCTCCTTGAAAATCTGCCAGAGATGATCAATGGGATTTAGGTCAGGGCTGTTGCCTGGTCACTGACCCTTCCCACAGAATACTCGCAGGTTCTTCTGGCGCCAGGCAGTGGTGGCTTTGGAAGCATGACAAGGGGCATTGTCATGCATGAAGATGGCCTCTGACCTTTTTTTCAACCAAGTCTTGCTCCAGAATTGAACCTCCTGTGGTTATCCTGTTAAAGGCATCAAGGCAGGACTTTGGAAGGATGTTCTCCAGATAATAAATTGTACTAATAGTCTGTTTTGGTGGGGTCACATGAGTGACGTAACAAGGGATCAATAATATTTAATCCCTTGTTTTGTCGTAGATTAAAGTGGTTTGGCAGATCCGATCCAGACAGAAGTTCTGACAAATGGAACTCTCGTGTTTTTTTAACGAAGTACCCCAGGTAGCACACTTATTGACTCTTTCATGTTAATACTACGTCAATATGATGAGAATTTCATGCATGTTGAAAAGTTTGACATGACTATTGATGTTGCTATTTTCGTAAAAAACTTGACATGTATGTAAGTCACATCAACTTGATGTTACATTTAATGTATATATTGACGCTCATNCCCAGGTAGCACACTTATTGACTCTTTCATGTTAATACTACGTCAATATGATGAGAATTTCATGCATGTTGAAAAGTTTGACATGACTATTGATGTTGCTATTTTCGTAAAAAACTTGACATGTATGTAAGTCACATCAACTTGATGTTACATTTAATGTATATATTGACGCTCATGAGGACATACACTTTTGACAAGTTATTGATACGAGGACCTTGTAATTATCACCATAAAATTGACATCACATCCACAG